CTCACATCCATGTTAACATAGTCTCCCAGAGGTCTCAGCCTACCCAGGACTCTTGAAGAAAGATCTGCTATGGACTCATGAAGTCTTCAGAGAGTGTGGCACCAACACCTTGAGCACTGGCAGGTTCAGGACAGGAAGTCCTGGAGTAGTACCTACAGCACACCTAAAGGGTGACAGATTAGAGTGGAGCAGCAGTGAGCACTGTTTAAACCCTGGTAATCCTCATGGCCAGAGGTTAGACATCTTCCTGGCAGCTGCAGTCCCTGTACCACCACTTACCCTCTCCTCTAGATTTCCATGTCTCATGGCCCATTCAGGAGCTGCGTGGCATTTAGGCCATTGCTACATTCAGTGTTGCACAATTTAAGGCACATTTCCAAGGGATCTTCAGTTTATCTTGAGGTGCCTACAAATCATAGAAAAAATAGGTTGAAAGGACTTCTGCAGGACTCTCATGCAATCTTATGCTTAATGAAAGAGAGGATTTCTCAAGGCCTCATCTATCTGGGATTTGAGTGCCTCCAAGAATAGACATTGCACACAATTTCTGGGCAACTTGCTTTAGTGCCTGACAACCCTCACTATGAAGAATTTTCTTCCTTATGCTTGCTGGACTGTATCCCACCTGGTCCCGTGGTTTTGTACATGTCTGGTTTACTTAAATGATCCCAGCATCACCCTCTTCAACTGTGGGTAGCAACTCTGTTCCAAACTCTGCCATTAGACATGGATGCCTGGGAACAGACTTTGCCAGTAAAGACTGAGGCAAAGAAAACGCTGAGAACCTCAGAATTTTGTGTGTCCTTCATCATTAGACCACTTGCCCTATTCAGCAGTAGACCCTCATTTTCTTGGTCTTCCTTTCGCTAGTAATGTACCTGTAGAAGCCCTTTCTGTTGCTCTTCACATCATCACCAGTATCAGCTCAAGCCAGGCTTTGGCCTTCTTAATCCAATCCCTGCATGCCTCTGCAGTTCTACACTGCCCCTTGATTGCCTGTCCCTGCTTCCCCTATTACAAGTTTTCTTTTTATGTTTGCATTCAGTCAGTAGTTCCCAGTACACTCAAGCTGGCCTCATGCACTGCCTGCTTAGCCTCCTGCTTAACAGTATGGACTATTCTTGGGCTTTGAGGAGATGGTCCTTGAAGTTCACCTAACCCTCCATGTCCCCTTACTCTTCACAGCAATATCCCAAGGGAAGTTGCTTGTTCGTTCCTGCTCTCCTGAGCAGGGTCATTGCTCTGCTACTCAGCTTTCTGTGTTTTCACATTATCTTAAATTGTACCACCTCTTGGTCTCTCTCCAAGGCTGCCATTAACCATCACAACCCCAAACACTTCTTCCTTGTTTTTGAGCAGCAAATCAATCAGAGCATCTCCCTACTCACTCTGTCCAACACCTGTGTCAAGTAATTATCCCTGACCCACTTCAGAAATCTGGATTGCTTGTGCCCTACTGTCTTTCCTGCCCAGCAGATCTCAGGGCAGTCAGCATAATCTATAAAACCCAGGGCTTGAAACAGTGACACTTCTTCCACTTGCCTAGAGAAGTCTTCATCTATTTTGTCTTCTTGCCCAGATGATCTGTAGCAGATGCCTACCATGATGGCACCTGTATTGGCTTTCCCTCTGATCCTGGCCCATAAGCTCCTGACCATCACACAGTCCATAGCAGAACTCCATGTGTCTGAGCTGCTCCTCTCTGTGCAGAGCATAACCCTCTCGCACATGTCACCTTTCTCCTTCTAAAAAGCACATATCCATCCATCCCAGCACTTCAGCTGTTGGAGCTTTTATAGCTTCTAAGTACAATGGAGCAATGGGTGGGTCAATCCCCTGCCTATCCAGTCTCCCAGTCCAATCAATATAGAGATCTGGGGACTGTCTGAGATGACTCGCTATGAACACCTAAATTAGATGGTGCACCTTCGTCTCTTGATTATTACATAAAAAAATGCTAATAACAGCCTAAGTCTTTAATCCACAATCTCCACACATCCCATTATAGTCAGAAAAATGTCATAGGTGCTCTTCCAGGTTCAGTAGAAAGAGTAACTATGCTTTGCATACGTAGTGAAGGCAGATCAACAGTGGAAACCCTCTCCCAAAGATCTATTTTCCATGACAGGACTTCACAAAGTCAGGGACTTCCCTGCTTGCCCAGGAATGGTCATGACTGACGTGCTTGTGTTGGCTTGATACAGGAGAGAGAAAAGCAAGGAGCCACATAGAGGAGGGCCCTTTTGAGGTCAGATCTTGTTAGAACCAGCAAACTCGGGAATGTGCATCCAGAACCTACTTGTTTGCATTTGTTTCTACTGTATTTAAGGAAAGGAAAAAACACTCTGTTTATTCTTCTGTAAATAAACAAGAGCATGCAGAGAAATACACTACATTTATATTATCAGTGTCTCGTCCAAACAGAAAGGTATACTTACAGCCTGTTCTTTGAACCTTTTGATGCTCTCTCTCATGCGGAGGAAGAACTAGGGTAAGAATATCTCCACATTCTGCAAATTGCAGTTTGGTTTCTTTGCTGCAAGCTGTAAAAATCTCACTGCAAACATTTACAGTTTAATCTGAGCCACAGGAGCTCTAACTGGTACATGGTGCTTCCAATGCAGTTTGTTTACAAGATGAAGGCTTCAGTCCCAGCCAGAGCAGGAACACATATCACTGACATTTGGAAGCCTTGCTTAAGGAAATCCAGACTGACAGCCTCTCTTCCTACTGCAAATCACTGCCTTGTCCAATTTCCAGTTCCACTGCTGCTCTCTTTCCCCCATCACACCTGCAGGTAAAAAGTCTTCACGGGCAACACGCCGTCCCCGGGCGAGGAGCAAGTGCGGTGCTGGTGCCAGCTGTCTGTACAAAGGAGCTGTTATTGCTCCTCCTTGGCTGGAAGGATGGTTGGTTGGTTGGTTGGTAGGTGCAGCTTTGGCTTTGAGAGGGCAAGGGAGATGAGCCACAGACCAAACAGGAGCAGTAAGCAGCATCTAGTAGGTGCAGCTTTGGCTTTGAGAGGGCAAGGGCCACAGACCAAACAGGAGCAGTAAGCAGCATCTTCAGAGCTCTGTCAAGGATTCATGGAGTGTTTTGTCTATCTGAGAGGGGAAAGAAGATGGACTAAAAAATATTCCCTCCTGCCCCAGGCAGAGAGGGGACACTGGCAGGATCAGGAAATGTGATGGCATCGTTCACCACTGCAGCACCCAGTGAGTCCCCGCTTGGCTTGCAGTAACAAAGAGCAACCTTCCTGAACACACAGAGGAGTGTTAGTCCCCTGGTTTCACTGGGGCTTCACACTACTAAAATGCCTGTATAAGTACAAGGAAAAACGGAAAAAAAATGTTAGTTGCTGATTAATTGCTGCTTTTGGTCTGTCTCTCTTGCACATAAAAATGAGCAGGCTCAGACTGCCTCGCTTTTCCCTGTGTATCAGGCACTGGCCCCTAACAGGGCAAGAAGAATGGGACTGAACTGGAGGGACCAGAGACAAGGAACCTGCAAGACCTCCAGGTCCTGCCTTGCCAGCTCACAGAAAACTTGCTGAGCCCTGCAGCCCTGCTGCTACGTGGTTGCCGCCTTCACAGGTTGCTGCTCCAAACCCACCTGCAACACAAGCAGAATGGGTTTGAGCTTACTTTGCTTCTCTCCATACCTCAAGATACCCAGATATGCATTATGGTCACCCCACATCTAGGTGGCTCCCCTCGCTACCCTGCCACCTCTCTCCCAGCTGCAACACCTGAAGCCCCCAAGGGCAGAGTTTCCTTAATCATCGGACAGATTTTTTTCCTCTGTCTCTTTTTCCCTTTCCGAGTTGCAACGTTTCCTGCCAACTTTCTGCTTGGCGTGAATTCCTACAGCAGAGCAATATAACTTCTGAAAATAGACACTTACACTGGAAAGCTTGACACACCCTATATGGAGCCTATGAGTGGCAGAACCATAATCAAAAGCCAGGGAAGACAGTAGCCCATGTTAGCAGCATTCCATTAAGGCTCTGAGCAAAGCAGCCCTAAGTGAAGAAGGTAAATGGGAACTCTATAAGCACTGCTGCACAGACACACACACACACACGGTTCTTTTCATCACCGAGAGGCATTTGAGTCTGTACTCTTTATGGTAACCCTAGCTGGGGTGAGTTATTTCAATATAGCTGGCATGTTCAGAACCCCTTTAAAAATAAAAATTCATGGAAACAGCCAACCTGCCGTGATTTCCTGATAAGAAGCGGCCTATGGGGAAAAAAGCCAGTAGTTGTACGATACAAGTCTGAGCTCTGCCTGTCATTAACAAGGGTGGGTTTTTCAGGGTAAAATTCTCCTGGGCCAAATAACAGGAGACTGATAAATAAAGCTTGTCAACTGCCCTTTCTGACTCACTCTCTCCTGCTGGAAGGGTGACTCACTGTCATGTGTGAAAGGCTGCCAGGTCTTGCTTACATGCTTAAACAAGCATGGGTTGTCTGTGTTAGACACACATTACCTTGGAAGAAGCAGATGTTTAATGCTGAGAAGGCAGCTCTGGAAAAGACTCTGCTGACTAAAGGATCTGAACTGCAAGGTATTTCTCAATCCTTTCTGGAAAGTTCAAGGTTGTTGTTAGAATACCACAGAAAACTTCATCCCAAAGCCACGGCCAAGGGCTTGACTGACGATCACAGTGTTTCAAAACCAGGACTCACTAGGACCATCAGATTTTAGCCAGGTAATTCCTGCGGAGTGAGCCAGACAGCGTCTTCTAGGTGCAGACAGAAGTAACTGAGACTATGCCTGGTCCGCAGCTGCCTTGTGCCTGAGGAAAACAGTGTGCTAAAAGCAGTCCCTTGTTGCTCACTATTTCATGGTGAGAAAGCACCCCCATGGGGCTGCTCCACTTAAGGAGGCTGTGTGGAACCTGCCTTGAATCTGGAGAGGGGCAAACACAGCATGTTGAACACCATCCCTCAGTCTGAGTAGCTCATCAACTGCTTTTGAGCAACACTGGTAGCTGCTCGGTGCCTCCTCCTCTCTGCAGTGACACAGATCTTGCAGGTAAGTGACAGTGCACAAAAAGCTGCTTTGTATCCAGGAGCTCTGCTGCCTACGTGAGGGTGTGCTCCACCCTTCAGCCTTCTCCTGTTGTCCCGGGCCCACCACGGGCCAGGTGTGCAACTCTGTGAAAGCTCTGCCCCAGGCACTGCAGGGACTGTTCACAAATCCCAGTTATTAGCAAATACCACGGACTACCTTGCCCTGCGGGACTGATGTGGCAAAGGACACTTTTCCCTCGTGCTCTTTCTAAGGCCCCGTACAATGCCTGTTTGCGTGGACATGACAAAGCAAGGTGCTTTTGCAAGGAGTAGTGTACTGGAATGTCGATCCACAGATCAGCGTCACAGCTAGGGAGACAAAGTTGTACCCATCCTTTAGGATATAGAGGACTTCTAAGGCAGGAACTGAAAGGCTTCTCCCAAGACCATGAGAAGGAAGCCATGCTGTAGCTTCCCTCAGCTCCAGGTATTAGCCAACATCTTGCTGCATCATTCGGTAGGGAAACCATGCTGCTGCAGGGCAATGATACCACAGCTGCCTCTTGCGTGTTCAGCCAGGTATGCACCATCCAGGAGTCACCCATGCAGATGGGAAAGACAGTCAAGCTCTCGGGAAACCTGCAACCAAAGCACCATCTCAAGGTCTTGTCACCATCTTTCACACCGTATCAGCACTAACCTGTCTGCCCAAAATGAATGTATAACCTAGAAATATTAATTCTGAATAAAGAGTGTACCATTACACATCACGTATATGAGGAAGATACAGCAGTCACACACATACTTCTTCTCCTTTGGGAGAGAATATGTGGTTTCCATCCCACAAAATTTGGAGGAGATGTCTAATGAAAAGCTTGAGAGAGGGACTGCAGGCCACAACAGCCTCATCCAGTGGTAGAAGGACTGACCTGACACATGGAAAACACACCTAGGCCACAATGCTACTTAGGCGTTAACAGAACATGTGCCAGTCTAAGTGGAGAGAGCAAATAACAGCGTGAATCTGCAGTTCAAGTGTCTGTCTCGCTAAGGCAGTGCAGGGCCATCCTGCAGAAGTGATCTCATCCCTGGACTACCAGTTACTCCAGAAGAAGTAACTTTGTCATTATAATTGTGCTGCAAAATTTCATCTTTTTAAAAACCAAACCACACATTGCAAGGGAAAATTGTATTATTTTTATCCAGCATACATGTATTTTGCTGAAAAACTTCCAAACCAGCACTAACTGTCAAATTTCTCCTCCTAACAATGATGAAAATTTTATCTCTCTGGTTTTCTTCCACTGTTTAATCATCCATTATTTTTTCATTGATTCTTACTGACTATGACAAAGTCAGGATTTCTCATAAATTTTCCTCCTGATGCTAATGGTTAGCATGTACAGATAGTCTTATAGGTAAAGTGATAGCATTTCTTACCATGAATTCATTTTGTTTCAAGATACTGACATCCCAACTGCATATTTTAAGTTTGAACATCTGAGATCTGCTTTCCCAATCATGTAAAATCGATGATAAAAATAAATATATGTCTCTCATTTAAAAGATAAAATGAAATGAAGACTTGGTAGATATTTTAAATAACAGCATTTCTCTTTGCTGGATGTAGTTTACAATGAGTCATAAATTAGGCTAGCTATATCTGAGAACAAAATGAGAGATGATGGAAATAAAAAAAGAAGTAAAACCAATATATTAAAGATTCCAGAGTAACTCCCTTTAGAAGCAAAATTTCAGCAACTTTTAGACTGTAGTAAGTCATGTCTCCTGGTTGCTTTGCTAGCCCTTTAGAAAAAGAGGGCTGACATTAAAATCAATAATCATATTCAACTGCAGGTGTCAAAGCACTTCCCAAGATAAGTCAGTAAAACAATCTTCCCAGAAATGGTGCAAAGAAGGCTTTAAGATGAAGGCAAAATAGTGACAGGGACAGGAATTATCGTCCAGGTCTCCAGTCGCCCAGTTAGCACACCCTTGAGTGCTAAACTACCCCACCTCTGACAAATGAGTTAGGCTTCTCAAGCTGCAGTTTCAAAGTGATTTACTTAGCAATGTGAAACCACGCCACTCAACGTGAGAAGATGCCACTTCTGCTAGTTGCTCTGATTACAGTCATCTTCTGCCATTGCTCTTGAGAGCACAGTGCTCTGGCTGTTAAGCCTGTTTTGGGGGCTTCTCAGAGGTGGCAAACTGAGGTCATTTGTCAGGACGGAGAAACGACTCCTTATTCTTCCTTGTTCTTCCTCTTCTTCCTCTTCCTCTTCTTCCTCTTCCTCCTCCTCCTCTTCCTTCTCCTCCTCCTCTTCCTCCTCCTCCTCCTCCTCCATTGCTCCATCAGGCATGCTCATTAAAGATTTTAACTCACTACAATGAGCTCCAATGATGCCCACCCTGTTAGAAAACATCATGTTAATCTGCTTGACACAATGAACCAAAGGAAAACAGGAGAAAGGGGAATAGATTTGTCATGTTTCCTAGGTAAACCAGTAAGGAACCTTGCCTCCTTTAGCTGGACTGTGTGTAACACATTATGCAGAGGATATCTGCTCTCCCCCAGGGAAAAACAAATTACCAGGCTTATACCCTCAGCACCTTGTGCACCACGTCATGTTTCTGTCTGGAGTGGGCACGCACGCAACGTGAACTCCATACATCCAAGCGAAGCTCAGCGCTTCCTGGAAAGGTTGGCCCTATTGCATACAAAGTACATGACTCTGTACATAAGCTATAAAGCCAAGATGCTCAGGGTGCACCCAGCTGCCAAAGCATTCACAAAACAATTGCATGTGCAGTGGCAGCAAATTTCACACTCTCAAGAAATACCGGACTTGCCGGTCACGTGTTGGAGATATGTCCAAAGATTTTGCACGTGCACTGCTGTAGCATTCATTCCCTGGTAACAGGCGATAGGAAGAGGGGAAATGGTCTGAAGTTGTGGCAGGGCAGGTTTAGGTTGGACATTAGGAAAAATTTCTTCACAGAAAGGGTTATCAGGCATTGGAATGGGCTGCCCAGGGAAGTGGTTGAGTCCCCATCCCTGGAGGTATTTAAAAGCCAAGCAGACAAGGTGCTTAGGGACAGGGTTTAGTGGTGGGATGGCAGGCTTAGGGTAATGGTTGGACTTAATGATCTTAAAGGTCTTTTCCAACCTAGACGATTCTATGATTCTATGACTAGAGTGCCAGAACTCTGGAAGATCCAGACAAATTAAAGACATTCTCAAATTCTAATTTCCAGGCCAAAAACGAAGATTTATGTGGGAAAGTCTTTCAGGGAGCCTTAGATACACTTCAACAGAGCAGAAGTGATTTACAGTGGTCCTGTTTACATGAGTTAGTACATTAAAAAGTACTGTAGTAATACTTCTGTTAACCATGGCTGGGTAGAAAATGGAATTCCTTTCATATAGTGTACCCAGGCTTGAAAAATTTTGGTTTTATCGTGATTCAGAAGAAAAGGTTCTATTTCTATTACAATCAAAATCATATTTTAAAAGTACAATGTAGTAACAAATTACTTTGTCAGAATAAAGTACATCAGTAATGTCTGATCAGAACACTGGACACTCACACAGTCAAGAAGAAATAAGAAATTGGAATGAATCAGGGGAGGGAAAAAACATAAACATCCCGTATTGATTTTGAGAGCTCTTGATTAATTTCTGTTCAAATTTATGTCAAAGTGTATTTCCTTCCCCCAGAAAACTTCTGAGTTTTAACAAATCACTATGATGGACAGTAGCTTTGCCATCAGTTAACCAAGAGTACTACCTCTGCAAGTTTCAGGCTATTCATGCCTGTCTTGCCTCCACTCCCGTTCCTCTCTAACTCTTTTGTAGACCAAATCCTCGGTCCAACAGCCCCTCTCCCTGTGAGGAAGAGCTAGCTGTCTGGCATCCTTCCTCATAGCACTACCAAACCTATTTATGTAGAGAAATAGCCCCTTACTTGGTAGTGAACAGTTCTGACAAGTCCGGCAGTCCGTCACACTTGCAAGGTCCAGGGTCTCTGCCCCGACAGTAGTGGTTTTGGGAGAGGTATTGAGCACTGTCCTTCGGTAAGGGCAGCAGCGTGCTGAGCACTGGCGAGCGCTGGTGAACCATGCTGTGGATGGGAGGATGCTTGACTTTTCTTGAAAGAAAAAAAATGCGGGTGTTACCTCAGGATATTCGGACAGGGCAGGTTCCCTAAGGACTCACCAGTGTGTCAGACGTATACCTCAGCTGTGGCAATCGCATGGTACTTGCATCAGCAATCTGGTCTCCTGCTTTCTGCAAGTCAACATTGCTCCTGTCTCTTAAGGCGGGATTGAACATGTTGGACCAAAGAAGCCTGCCGATTTCTTCCCGAATCACTTGGAAGTGCTTCCGTCTGAACACAAGCCAAGCCACATAGCTGCAGAAGTTGTAGAAGCCCTAAATTGAAAACACAGATCCCCTTTTCACTGGGAAAAGGACCAGAGTCCCACTGCATCCCAGAGTGGAGGATGGTATGACTCCACTAAAATACCAGCAACCATTTGGCATCAAACTTTACCATGCATTAGTGAATATTTGAAAGGACTGATTTTTTAAAGGTATGCAGACAGATGAGGCTAGACACAGAGTTAGCTCAGATGGATTTCATCTTGCTCAACTCTAACCAATTTGGCTTGCTGCTAGAAGCTAAGGAGATAACCTGAGATCACCACCCAGTTTCCCTCAATAATCAATGGGAAGAGACTGATGGGATGAGTCATTCCGTGTGGGTTCCTATCACATGCATCTATCTCAAGAGGCAACAATTCACCCTCTGGTTGAGCTTCTCTTCTCTGCATTGGCTGTCAAGGCAGCCGAAGGGCATGGTCTGACTGGCCAGCTATTGTTTGGGCAGCTGCAAGTAGATGATTCCCACCCCAGATGACAGCATTATGATCACAGAAAATATTACTACCAAATATGAACTCATTCCATCTCACCTCCGCATGTCTGCTTGCTGATTAAAAAAACAATATCTAGCTATTTGACATTTGTGATCCCTAGCATAAGCTGAATCAACTCCCAATAAATCGAATCTCTACTAAGTCTGTTCTTGAAAAGATAGCATCGCTGGGACTGCTGTGTATCCTTGGAATTGAATCCACAGTTCCCCTCTTTCAAGGAAAGGCTTCCCAATTTATGAAGTACAAAGTATAGTTTGGGCCCAGCTGTTTTGTATTAATGTGCCAAAGCCCTGCTACACGGTGAGTCTCATAAATGGCTGATGGAGCTGTGTGTTGCAGGCCAAAAGAGGTAGAAATGTCACCAAAGGCAATGGAAATAAAAGGTGGCTATAAAATTTCTTACCTACAGAGATGATACTATGAGGTCAATGATGAGAAGAAACCTAGAGACCAGACTTCCCAGAGGGACCTCAGGCTGTGATGGGAACTGCCTGGGGTTTGAGAGCCACAGAGGGACTGAAATTCCCTTGCTGAGCGCTCCATGGGCAAAAGGCTTGGGCTGAAGGGCAAAGAGATGGTATTTTACAGGGACATCTAGGCCCTAGAGGTAAAATTTTATTCTAGGTACTCTGCCCTACAAGTAAACGATGGAGGGAACCAAAAAGGAAAGGAGCATTTGGATGTGCAAGGGAGGGACATGCTCTGGGCTGACACTCAGTCACAGTCCGTTTATCTTTGTGTCTTTCTTACCTCAAAGAAGCGCCGATCCTTCTGCAATGATGTTTTTCTCCTAAGGCAGTGAACAAGAGCACAAAATTAATAGCAGCAGTTGTCCTTTCAGTTCTCTGAACAGAGCATTGAATATGACTCATGGGGCTATGCCAAGCTGGCATTTAACCAGGCCAATAAAGTTGTTGCTGGTAGATCCTCATTACTAGCAATGCGGAGACCCACTGTCCAAGAGAATGGCAGAAGTTCTGCACTGCCTCAGAAGGAGAAAATGCAAAATATTGTATGGTTCAGTTAATTAAATCTGACAAAGAACAAAGCTGAATGTGATGAGCAGGCGAGGCTCCCCTGCTATGCTATCTAGACTGAGGTCTCTGCGTGGGCCTCTCAAAAGTGGTCAGCGCTGCTCTAACCCAGTTCCCACTGAAATCAATAAAAAAGCTGTTCCTGACATAACTGGAAGAGCAATGAGCAGAGTTACTGAGGGCACAAAGCCAGCCAAATGCTGAGACAATAAACTTGAAAACCAGGAAGGAGATGCCTGATGTATCTCCAAGAAGAAATGTAAAACATGCCCAGGAATGACAAAGGGCCTTTGTTAAAGAAGCAGCAATTTGCCCAGTGGAAGCCTCAGAGATGCTCTCGCCACCCACTTGAGCCTGGGGATTCTCACACAAGGCCAAATGTCTGTCCATCATGGAAATGGCCATCAAAGCGGAGGGTGATGCACACATCCCAGCAGCCACTCAGTTCTCCTGGAGATGGCACAACTCACCCTCATGGAAATGAAAGCACATTTTCCCTGCTAGCCTACAGTTCCCCACAGATCTGGCTTGGTCCTGCCAGATGCACAGCAAAGCCTGTCTCCGCATCAACCCACCAACTCCTGACATGTCCCTTTATCTTCCTGATAACATCAAGTGTTCCACACATCTAGGGCATCCTCAGCTGCCATCACCGCAGAAACATCAATGCAGAGCACACCATGAAGATAATACCTTTCAGCTCTATAGCTCTATTTACCATCTGCTGACTTTTATTTATTGATTTTTTGACCCAGAAGACCGTGTATCTCCTTACCTGGCTCCCACCAGCCATAATCCTGCTGACACTTCACATATTGTGCAATGGAAAAGAAGCTTGACTCTGCAAGCATGGCATGGCTGTTTGCCAAAGCAAAAAATTCTGTCTGCAGAATACCAGAGCGAGTAGAGAAACCTAAAGTGACCCCACCTTCTTAAACCTTAATGTGAAACCTAGCTTCACCTTCTAACATTATACAGCTTGTGCAGTGTCTTAGAACTAGTCCCTAGTTTAGCAGAGAAATCTACGTGGAGTCCAGCAACAGAAAATAATGCTAATTAGAGTCAAATAAGGCCAGGGGTCTCCACCCTTCTTTCTCCCAATGCTTTCTTCCCTCAGGTGAGATATTAAGCTAAGAGACCTGCTTGAAGTAAAGTTTCCGAAAATAAGTGTTGAACTAGGAGGCACCTCCCATGTCTAGGGCACAGTTGCTAATTACCTAGGAAAATACAGAAAGGGTCAGGAAAACATCAAACCTGAACAAGCTTCAGGACGGGACTTGTAAGAAACGTGAAAGAGTGAGCAAAAAGCATCATGCCTTCTAGTAATAAAGTAATATTGATGTCTCAGAGCTGTGAGGGGGACAGGATGAGTTCATGCATGAAAGAGGAGGCCAGCACAGCCAACGGGGGACAGTGTGGTAAGCATGGGATTTGGATGCAAGATGATAGTGACTTCAGACATCGACAAGAACTACTGTTGTGCGCAGGGGCACGTGGGGAAGAAATGCTTCCTGTGCCATTTAGCAGCTCCCTCCACCGCAGCTGTGACTCTAATTGCCCATGGGTCAAGCCAGCTTCAAGGATCAGTAAGGGCTGGCCCGACTGTGTTTGAGCCATTGATGCATGCAGCCCTGGGAACACTCTGTATTTTTCCCATTATGACAAATGCCCATAAGGAAACTGGCACCATAAAAAGGTTGCACAACCCCCATCAACTTAAAAGGAGAAAGCCAGACACACCTATTCCTTCCTCGGCGTTAGAGGCATGAAAGAACTAATGCTAACATACACAAATAACAGGTCTGGAAGAACTCTCTCAAATTCCAGTCTGGAATAGTACCAAAATAGGATTTGAATGCTGCATTTTATAAATCATGTAAAAATGGTGAAGGTGAAGATGTTCTCCACCTAAGCGTCCCTTTTTAAAATTTCAGAGAAAGCCTTTACGTGAAGAAGCAATAATTTCATATGAACACAGAGACATTTAGCAGATCTGGAAGGGAAAGCAGTTTACCAACATAGTATAAGATTTCATTAAAATGTTGCTATGGTGAATTAGAGTGAAAAGCAAAAGCTTCAACACCATCATGAACCCCTAGTTGGGTTATAAGAAAATATAGTAAAACTGGGGGTGGTATATTATCGATAGTTTCTCAGCTTTTTAATTTAAATTTTTTTCAGGTTAAAGAAAAACCTCATCCAAAGTAACCCTCACCGCAGTTTCCACTTTGATGAAGGACCTCTCCCATCCAAAAACCTGTGCGCTCAAAAAATTCCTACCCATCTTTTACAATGACAAGTGTTAATCAGTTCTGTCCCTTAGCTCTTGGTTTTGGCAGTTCATGTATAATGGTCTGGGAGGATCCAGATAACATTTAAGGCTAAACTGAGTCAGCTTGGAAAAGATTGTATTTATATAATTGCAGTATGGTATGGGAAGTGCCACATATTACAACACGCTCCGCATTAACCTGACTCTGAAGTCAGCCGTAGTAGTCAGCAACTGCCACCCTGCTATGAGCAACTCGGTGAGGTCTCTCTTCATACAGCACCTTACCTCATGAAGGCTTTAAGACACAGCTCTTTTCTAGCCTTTGTGTTCTCACAGCCCGGACACCGACATCCCAACCCACCGCCAGCTTCTAACCCCCACTGTGATGGAACTATTAAAGAACACAGTTCCTTGTTTCAGCTCTTTGCTCTCACTCCCAGGCTGCTGGGGGGTGCCACTAGACCTCTTCCTTGCCTCAGTCCTGCACATTCCCATCCACCAGACAACACAAGTGTATGGAGAGGCAGCAGAGCTAATTAGCTAGGTATACGACAGGCTGTTTTATCCAGCTCCATCCAGTTCTTGGATTCAAGTTACTTTCTGCAATGTGTTCCTCCAACTGAGTCTCATAAGTGCAGGCATTAGGGCCACCCCACAGAAATAACTAAACACTCTCGTGACCCTCCCTGTCCAACCAGTGAGAAGGTTAAGAAGATGCCTCTTCCCAGCAGGGATCTGGGAGCAGGGATTTGGCACAGAAGACTGCTTCCAGGAGGGCCCGGTGAAATGCCGATGTGCCAGGATGCAGAGGGAACACATTCTTAATTCTCAGGGTCCAGCACCTTGTGGGATGGGGCACACTAAAATTAAAGCCCTGCTGGGACAACAATCTCAGCTCCCCTTTGACTCCATCATTTCGCAGGTTACCTTCTCCTCTTGATTAGAAGGAAACCCAGGTTCCCCCACCCCAGCCTGGAGCAAGATTGCCCGAAGCTGTGTTGCAGGAAGGCAGGTGAACGTTTGTGACTCCTCTGGGGAACTGGAAGCAGTGTCACACCAACTGACTGAAAAAATTTGCTTGAAACTGCTCTGGAAAGATCCCATGGGACTAGGGTGCTGGCTTTTCAAACACCCTCCCATCCTCTCCTGCTTTCTTCAGTTTCTTTTTTAATTCCCACTATGGGTTTCTCTCCCCTTTCAGATCATCACTGGGACCATCGCATCTAAAGAGCAATTGGTCTTCACCACTCTCAAAAAGCCATGCACCGCCTGCCCCACTCAGAGGTAGGAGTCCTACACTTCCAATGCTCCAATGCCCAAGCACAACCTCTTCTTCTCTCCACTCCCTTCACTTGCTGCCCTTCAGGAACATGGTCTCCTTCACTTGCTAGACTAGCCTTATGCTATTTCAGACTTGGCGTAAGAGGAAATTTATGCAGGGTTCAGTGGCAAGCAGCAGGTACATAACCATTTGCTTTCAAGATTTAGTTAAGTGGAAGTGGCAGGGGTAAGACCCAGGGCTGGCTTTGCCCTGCTGACTTTCATGTTGAACCCATTAAAGTTTCCTGCTCTGTATATCTAGCAAGGCTTCCGCATACCAGGGCTGGAGCTTTCCAGTCTGGGATCCAGAGCTCTGCTGTAACTCATTGTGCCCAAATCAGTTGGCAACAGCTCACCAGAAACACTTGTGGAGTTGGTTATGAGATAAGATAGAGCTGCAGGGAGATCAGGACACTTCACTGTCTCATGGCCCCTTAATCCTCTGGTGACTCCTTGGCTCACAAGACATTTATTACCCTGGGCATTCACTTGTGTCACTCAACGGAGGCCTTGGCCCTGGGATCCTGTGGCCCTTGGCATAGTGAGATTGCACAGAAGGGATTGGCTTACTTTCCACCAGGCACGTGGCACCGCTGTGCCATGCCTCCTCGTCCGAGGATAAGGCTACAGTACACCTTGGCGAGGTGAATCCTGGCCATCGCTAACTTCGCCAACACATCGTCCATTTCTTTCTTCTCTAAAAATATCATAGTCCTGTTTAAAAAAAAGGGAAAAAAAGTTTTCAGAGAAGGTTCTCTGGAGAGAAGGGATGCTGCAAAGAGTGACCGTTTCTGAGAAGTAAGCATGGTTTTCAGGCGCATAAACCAGCACACTGCATGACACCCCCATCAGGGGACACCTCTGCAGCATGGCTGGGCTCCAACGCTTCCAGCACAGCTTGGCGATGCCGGTGGGGCCATAAGGCCTGGGGCTCGGGCCCAGACAGTCTCTCTTGCCCCACACGATTTATAAGCTGCATGCACACAGTCCATCAGGTTGCCGTCTTTGATCCTGCACAGCTTATGAACCTTTCCTGCAGCCTGCATCAAAGCCCTGAAGGTGCACTTAGATATCTCCAGGCGCAGGCTCTGCCACCAGGCGGCCTGGAGCAGTGGGTCTGGCTCATCAGAGACAGCACTTAACTCCTCTTCAAAAAGGCACATGAAGCGCATTTGGGACTGCCTCTAAACAGGAACGGCTGACACCACAAGCCTGTATTTTAAACCAATTCAGATCAAACACTAAGGAAATGCCAAGCCAAAGAGCTTTCTATTTCCTCTGCTTCCCCTGTAATCCACGCAGCTGTCTGCTGGTGCCTGGGAGCACTGCCGGCCTAAAAGTTACCAGCCTGCTTTCACACTCCGGAGAGTTGGTTTTGTCTGTCCTATCCCCAATGGCCTCCAGCTCGAAAGCTTCCTACATAGCCCCCCCTTAATAAATTAGGACAATTACTCTGGGCTTCTCAAGGATAATTGCTAATAAAATTCAGCAGATTTTCCTCAAAAGACATGAAAGGGTTGGGAGCAGAAACAAACAAAAACTAAAGGGGAAAGAAAATGCAGGACAGAAATAATAGCCCTTGTTCCATTCATGTCTCATCCACCACTGCTGAGTTTTTGTTCTTAGAGTCACATATTTCAGAGGTGAATATTCCCAAGCTGTCTTCAGGGGGGGAATGCCTCATGCCCACTGCTTTGGAAAACTGGTTGGTTGTTTTTGAAGTTAGTTACAAGATCTTCCTGAATGTAGAAGAAGCCAGGAAAGCCTCAGGCTTGGATTTACGAAGAATCAGCACAGCATCAACAAAAGACAAAGTCACAAGAAGACAAAGATGTCCATATTCACCCTGAAGTTCTCTGATAGAATTTCTTCCCATACGTTCTTTTCCAAAGAAAGTTTAATGCACAGAAGCAATGATTTCTGAAGACAGGACAGTCTTAGACGTTCTCCTGAGGCACTGTGGACACTGATACTTCCACACAGTCTAGGTTCAAGACAGTCGAAGAGCTCTTCAGACCATCAGGCCTGGCTGCCTGTGGACAAGAATAGTCCCAGCAGATGAGTTAGGCACCTCTCATAGGCAGCCCAAATGGCAGGAACCCCAAAAGACACCAACTAGGAGCAGGAATAACCAGCATTGTTTTCTGTGTTACTGGGTTATCACACAGGGTCTACAAGAAGAGCAGCTTGAGGACTGCACAGCCGTTGGATGTCTGTCATATAGGAACATCAGACTGATAAAGGACTAGGCGGGTCACCAAGCCCAGTCTCCAAGTAATGTGTCTGTCAGATTAACTGGGAGCAAATTATAGGTGTCACTAATGAGACACATGAAATGGTACCGGCATGTCTTGCCTCCAGTCTGACTCTACTTGTGGCACATAGCCAGTACTACACAGGAAAGCAAAAAAGCCTCTGAAACTAAATTACATCTTGGAAGAAGGGGGAGGGAGTTTTCTTCCTAAGCAGGCTACTAGCAACAGTCCTGAGCATGGGATTTATGAGGGATAGATATAGGAAAACAGATGTCTATACAATGTACTTTCACATTCTCTCAAATACATCAGCATATCACAAACCCAAGGATTCTTATCACAAGTGCAATTTTACATCATTATGATTCTATTATGTAGTTCTAAAATCCCTTTCACAAGCTCACAGAGCTCCAACTTCAGAAAAAAAAAGCAGTTTTCTCACCTGCCCCCACTACTTCCTAGTGGAAGACCATTCCAGAACTTTAATCCCCGAGAGGAAAAAGACAGTCCTGGCTACATTTTATTTGAAATATAGCACAGATCAGGTGGATAACAGAGGAAATAGGAGGTCTTGAAAAGGGAAAGAAGATGCAGTGTCAGAAAGCTTTTCACACCATGATTAACTCCTCCCTGCTCCTCCAAGTCAGGTAAGATGCTAAAACAATTAAGGATGAACTTAAATAGGACCTAAAATTGCCTTTTGTTATTTTACTTTCCTTCCCTGTATTTATACTTCAGTAGATCAATAAACTGACTCCCTGCTTCTACCTGGTGCCTCTTTAAGCTTCTCTGATGTTACGCTGCATGCAGGTAATCCTGACAAGCAAGCCACTTTGCTTCAGGGGAGGTAACGACTAAATAAAATGGGATTGTAGAATATCCCTTTGGGAAGCAGAGGGTCAGTATGTTTCCCACCAAAAGGCAGGGGTCACTTTGGGAACACTACATGCCAGAACATACTGAAAGGTCTCTCCTGGCAGGGTTTATCCAGTGCTAACTGAATCTATCACCTTTGTGTATGAAATTACACTGATGGTTTTCTTTATTTATGAGTTATTCCCTGCACAATAAAAGAAACATCTGCTGATCGATGGATGTAGAACAGATCAATTCCTTAAGGCCAGCAATCCTCCAACAGTCTTTTCTTCAATCCAGATAAATCACCCCCTCTTTATACCAAGACTTCATGAATTGTGAAGAAAGTAATCATTAGGTGTTTTAAGAAAATGGTCGATCAATTCTCAGAGACTATTATAGACTCCAGAAAATCATTGACATTTCTTACAATCATAGTTTGTAACTCTGTAATGCTTTCTCCCAAGGCATATAACCCTCTAACGCAGCAGCTCCTCAAGTATTCCACTGGCATCCCCACTTCCACTCTGCAAGGTAGCAAGTGTGGTCACACACCCTTACTTGGGAACTGCTTTCCTGGCATATATTCTTCATGTTGTAACAAGTTTCTGGCACATAAGAGTCATCTGAACCTGCTTTGCAAAGTATTTAGAAATGAAGTCTTAAAGCAATGTGACCCACAGCACAAATTAACACCCAGCAGACTCGATTGTGACTATTTGGTGCTCTGTATTGCAAGCAGAAATGACTGGATGCTAATGCTATTGCTGGGAAATAGCGTTAAGGGATAATAATTCAATCCAGGGCACTCACATAGATTTAATGTTGATGGCAGTAGTAATGATTTATTCAAATTGCAGCATTACCTTGAGGAGCCAAATTATTTGGTGACCCCATTGCAGCAGGACTGGATCCAGCCATCATCTTGAAAGGGAGACTACAGTGATGCCCTGCCACGTGCACAGCAGCGCGCACCACTCAGGGCAAGGCTGGGGCAAAGCAAGGTTCAAACCCTCCTGGAAAATCTGTCTCTCTACATAGAGAAGCCTATGTCCTGGAGAGCACAGAGGACAAGGGGACAGGAGATATAAACAGTGAGACCAAGGGGTTTTTCTCCTTAGCATTCCATATACAGGCTGGGCCAGTACAGCAAGCAGTCCTTGCTCATACACAGAATCCCACTGATTCGGACACAAAAAACACTGATTTGACTGCCCTGTGATTCCAGATTTGCTGGGGCAAGCTTTCTGTACTTACATCCCTAAAGTTTGTACTCACGAAATCAAGGATCTGTATTTCTTTTCCAGGGCAATTCTTTCCAGGTAAAAAGACAGGTAGAAGAGCAGGGCCATGAGGAACTCATCTAGTTTCTCATTCCTAAAGGGATGGTAGAAAGGTCACCGTGAAATCTGCAGATTTGTACATATAGACACCACCAGACCATTATGAAAAAGAACAAATTCTCTGCTCAGGGGCCTGCATTACACCAAATATTAGCTATATTCTTGAGACCTGTTCGTAGCAAGCATTCCACCCCACACTGAGACTATGAGGTTTTGTAGAGAATTGCTAACAGAGTCCAATAAACACACTGAAGGGTGAATTTAATCGGATATTATCAAACATACTCATACTCCCAAGAAGCATGTTTTCTGTACTGAACATGCTGGAAGAGTGGCAATCACATTCAAAGGAAAAGGGGGACAACTCAGACACCTCTCTCCTCCTGAAAGGACAGTATGGCTAAGCTCAACAAGGTCTAGAGATACTTTCATAAGTCAAAGGCAATGCAGCCTCTCTATGGCCCTGGTGAACTCAGGGACATGCCTGTGAGATACAGTGCTCTGCCTGCTGCGTCCGTGCCTTTAGCCCATAGAGAAGTAACGCTGACAAATGACAGCAGCAAATACTGAGCCCTGCAGCTCTGACGGGAACTGCAGCAGCATGGGAAGGCAGCCCAGATTCCCCGTCGTGTCAGCGCTCCTGGTACACACAGTGCTGCGGATGCGCTGGCTAACAAGGAAAATAAATTAGAGTAAAATGGGTAATAACTTTTGGATGTTCAGGCCCAAGTTCTTGGCTTCCTGTAGGTAACAGAATGGAAGGCTTTCAAACAGGTGATAGGATTCTTTCTCTGCACATGTCGAGGACAACATGCATTTGGTATTGTTTCACAGAATCATAGAATCATTTATGTTGGAAAAGATCTTTAAGATCATCAAGCCCAGCCGTTTCATCATGTCCAACCATTTCCCACTGACCCTCACAGATGAGAGATTTTAAACCTCGGATATTTCATATTCTACTTCTCATACACCCTGGTCCCTCCACTGCCAGATACACACACATAATTGTTGAAACAAACTCTAAACAAAATACCTCATAGCTGCTGTAAATGATAGCATGTGATGTGACTCGTTTGCTTCTTTCAAAAGCAAAGCAGCATCTGAAAACATACAGAGGAGAAAAACAGTATTTACTCAAAAAAATTGCTAGTGTTAGTAGAAATAGCTTTCTAACTAGTACAGGCAACGCCTTGCTGATATGAAATACCAGCAATTACTCACATTTGACATCATCCAACGTCACATATTCATGTTGCAGCCACTTTGACAGCCTGTGCAGTTTCCCTTCTGTGTCAGCCAGCCCTCTTTCAGGGAGTGTTGCACTGCAATCATCTTGGAAGATGCTAGTGGTTGACCAATACATAACATTTAAGGACACTGCTAATTCTAGTTTGAGAATATTAAGATTATCTACCTGGTATGCACTTTCTTCATTGCACTCAGTTTCAAAGGGACAGGCAGTGAAATGTGTTTGGCAGGCATCCTGAACTAACTTTCAACGATTATAACCACTAAACAGGCTGGGGATGTCGAGAGAAATAGGACATTTCACCTCTAAGATTGCGTCTGAAGTTGCTCTTTTCGTTGCTAATATAATAAATTGTGACCATATTATTTAGATCAAAGAGGTTTTAAGCAATGGATGAAAGTCAGCTACACCATGTTGTGAATTTATAAAATTAATAATAATAATAATAATGATAATAATAATACTACTTTAATCTTTGAAGTGCCTTACACAGATGAATTAATTACTTCACAATACTCTTTAGGGTAGATGAGAATTATTACCTCGTTCTGAGCGATCTGGAAGCAGCAACAAAGATGCTGAATGGCTGTACCAAAGTAATACCAGGCTAGTGCCTGAGCTGGCGTTCAACACCAGGCATGTTTGACTCTGTTTATATGTTCAGACCACTCATCCACCCAGCTGAAATGACAGCTAGCTTCCTGTTTCACATGTTTTGTTCAGACATGATCCTCAGACAACGGATGAAAATATTCCCACCCAAATGATCTCGTTTCTTTTTGAGCTAGGCTAGTCGAATTGAAATACCTCTTTAATGTCTTGACACGCATTTCCTGAAAGTGAGTATTTTTTCCTTCCTTAAGGTTTTCCTCAACTGCTGGATTGGAGCTGAAACATAGAGTGTGAGCATGCAGTAGTGTGAATTTAAATTACTAGCAGCAGTGCAAACAGGTCAAAACACCATGATACAAAGGCATATCTATTTTGACCTCTAACTGACACCAAGAGAACTTCTGGGTTGTGGTGAAGTCCACATGAGACGTTGCTTTCAAGAGCACAGAAGCAAAGAGTACGGGGGCTTCCCTGGGTCTTCCTGCCTCCTGCCACCACTCACACTGCGCCATGTAAACCAAGCGATTGGTGTCTCAAGTGGCTTTAGGAAGACTTTAAATGTAAACTGCTCAGTTCCGGAGCTTTTCTTTGGGATTGCTGAGGGCAGAGACAGGCAGAGGTCACTGGGGAGCTCACTCCTCTCCCTGGAGAGCTACTGAGCAGAGTCAGCAGCGTTCCCAAACCAAGTGAAGTTGGCCGGAGCTGCTGAGACACAGACTATGAAAAGCAGCTGCAGTAGCCGTGTGGCCAGGGGAGAGGTGAGCAGCCTGGCTCCACCGTGACAAAGGCTTGGAAAATGCCCGGCAGGGCAGGAGGCAGCAGCAGGGAGCATGGCCTGACCCACCGCCGCCACGCTCCACCACGCTCCCTGCCCTGCGCTTGAGAAGAGAGCAGGGAGAGATATACTTTGACTGTTGGGTTTTTTTGCCCCAATAGTTTAAGTGATAAAGTCTCAAACCACAACTGCCACAGAAATTCAAAGCACAGTTACGTGCACTTTGTCCCCTGCGAGCTGTGGTTTCCCTAGAGGTTTGCAGTCCTACAGTGCTCACCATTGCACAGGGCCATACGTAACACCAGCAACAGGGAACGTCAGTCTGTGGACCTCCACCTACAGACACCTGGGGTGGCATTTGGCCCTCGCATCCAGCACTGTTGCTCCAGTGCACAGTGCACATTTCTGACACACAGCAGGACTCACCACATGCTTTTGGCCATCCCTCTGTACTGGGTCCAGCTTGAGAGCAGTGTGGAGTACAGCTATATTTCTGATTTTCTCCATTAACACAATGGGATAAATGTCACAGACCAACAGTTAAGTTCAATCAAACCAGTCTCAGTTGAGACAATAGTCTCAACCAGAAATAAAAAGTAATAAAAAACTGTCCTGCAGTTGATGTTCAGGCAAAACAATATTAGACTCTGACTTTACCTTACTTGGAACTGCTCTATCAAGGCATAAACCTGCATCATTTGAAACTAAACATCATCCTTTTACCTTGCAAATTCAAGTGTGTTAGTATCATCTTTCCAGTACCACACGCCTGGAGTTAGCTTTATCGTCTGCAAGAAAACAGCATATAGAGTACATGTCATAAATCTGTGCTCAGCCCCACGAAGTACTTATAATGCAAGCACTGTGCACATGGGCCACTTGCTATCTTTCTTCAGTCTGCTTTTCACCCAAGTGTTGTTCGTGTGTGAGTTATTTGAACAGAAGTTCCCTCAGATGAAAGTTGCCAACATAAGGAAGAAAAACGTCTATCTGTCCTTTTTTATGTCTTTCAGTGAATAAATAATTGAAAGTTTGCTAAGGAATATCAGTTATTTGATCACCAGTGAATCAATAAAGACTGAGAAATCAAATGGAGCCATGCATTAAACAACACATTGGTTTTATTTGTGGGGTTTCTTTTAAATAGTATTTCTGTAATTGTAGAGACTAAGTATCAGGAGAAAGTAATCCTTTGTTTAAAAATAGAATATGTTATGCACTTCCCTGATATTCTGAGAACTTCAAATAAACACCAGATAGACCCTTCAGGGGACATTGGACAAAACTACTAGCAAGAGCATTTTACAGTATCTATATATTTTTTAAAAATCCTTACAGAAAAATTCCCCTGAAAATAAATAAGATCTATTAGTCCTTTCTTAATTGACAAGAGAGACTTGCAAACCCTTAACTATTATTTGCAGGTCACCTTTAAAGCAAATTGATTCTTATAAATGAAATCTTTCTGCCTACAAATTTAAACTGAGTGAAACTTTAAGGCTTTCAGTGACTTTTTGCCAGGTACCATTCAGCCAGCCAGCCACGAGGCTCTCACAAAGTCTTGCTCAGTCTAATTTGGTAGTAGGGGGCTGGATACGGGACACCAGAATAATTTCATGTCAGCAGCCAGCAGCCCATGCAATGGTTAGACCACAGAGATGACTATTAGGAAACCAGGGTTCTAATCCTCTGATAAAAAGTGGTTATTTCATCTTGTCTGTTCTAGTCTTTGGTTCCAGCTTTCTAATACTGGTTTACAACTTTCAGAAGAAAAAGGCCACACAGATGCTATGCCTTTATGTTACACACAAGGGATTACAAACCATGAAAGAACATAAAAGTAGAAAATCATAGAATCATAGAATGTTTTGGGTTGGAAGGGACCTTTAGAGGTCATCTAGTCCAACCCCCCTGCAGGGAGCAGGGACACCGCTAACTAGATCAGGTTGCTCAGAGCCCCGTCCAACCTGGTCTTGAATGTTTCCAGGGATGGGGCCTCCACCACCTCTCTGGGCAACCCATCCCAGTGCCTCACCACCTTCATTGTAGAGAATTTCTTCCTCATAATCTAGTCTGAACCTACCCTGTTTTAGTTTAAAACCCTTGTCCTGTCACAACCGGCCCTGATAAAAAGATTTTCCCCGTCTTTCCTATAGGCCCCCTTTAAGCACTGAAAGGCCGCAATCAGGTCTGCCCGCAGCCTTCTCTTCTCCAGGCTGATCAAGCCCAAATCGCTCAGCCTGGCCTCACAGGAGAGGGGCTCCAGCCCTTGGATCATTTTTGTGGCCTCCTCTGGACCGGCTCCAACAGGTCCGTGGCTTTCCTGTGCTGAGGGCCCCAGAGCTGGATGCGGGTGGTAGTGGGGCAGAGCCTGGCCTACCAATGCATCACAGGCAGGAGAAAATAACACTCCTGTGTCCTCAAAATACATCTCATCTGCTTCTCACCCATACGGAAGGCTGAACGACTGTCCCTGGCCACCCTGCTCCCTGGCTGGGGCAATGGAACAGGTCCCTGCCCTGCCCACCCCATGGGGCCTCCCGTGGCCCCGGGGAGCTGCTGTGCAGGCAAACGTGAACAACAGCAGCAAGATGGAGCTGGGGAGGGTGGGGAGACTCACAGATAGCATGGTGCTCGCCTGGGACGCTGCCGGGAGCACAGGGGGTAAGGCAGGCACTGTTTACAGCAGTAGCCAGGTGACAGCCTGCTGTCCCCTAGGAACCACAGGTCCCAGGACGCAAATCACCCTCCAGCCTGTGCTGTGGTCTGGGACTCATGGTCTGTGTGCTCTGCCTCTTCCCAGCTCTGCTGAACAGCTTCCCTGCATAACATTTCAGTCCAAACAGGGAAATAAATTGTTTTCCATGCAGTAACATCTCCACAGCCATGGATTTGGGCTTGCTGTGCTTTGGGCGGTCGGGAGCTGCAGAGGTTTTCCTGGTTATCGGCCCAGGATGGGCAGCCGTGACAGCAGCTGCACCCAGTCCCTCTGTTATGGGCACTGATGTCTATACAGCACTCTGAATGTTAAGCATACTTTAGCTGGGGACTTGGCAAGATTTAAATTATATCTATCAGGTCATAAGTCTCCTGTGACGTGAGCTAGTTCCCTATGCGAGCAATCAGTTCAAGATTTGCAATTTGCCCCTGGAAATAATTCCCGTGCATTAAGGCATGTCACTTAAGGGCAGGATTTTGAGGGAGGGATTTTGATCTTTGAGATACTGTGAAGCATTGTTTTTGCAAACAGAAAACCTCTCATACCAGTCGTTCACAGTGGAACAGTGTCATGTATAACTGGTACCGCTTAGATTGCACCCAAAATTGGTATGAATTATATTGACAATAGCACTTTTTGCCAGTAAAAGTCAAGTCCTCATGAAGGGCAAGGTTTTCATGTTACAGGTAAGCCAACCTAATAGCAAGTTGTTGATGGAAGAGGCATTCTTGCGCCCATCAAAGTTTTCCTATCGTTTATCTTTGTGTTGATTCTTCTCTGTCCCCACAGCAAGGCGTCTCCCTAAACTGTCAAAAATAGTAATCCAGCAAAAATAAATGAGGAACTTTCTGTTGAGTTAGCATTTTACACCAGTTCATTGTGGAGTCGAGAAGGGCCAGTGGATATGCAGATAAAGATAAGGGGACGGGGAGGACCACACCTCTCTATAGATCAGGTCAGTTCTAAGGTGAAAACCAGCCACAACCTAGGAAAATTTTGCTAGTACAGCTGCACTAGGCCAGTGTGTCCTCTGAAGAGATGAAAATACCTGACCTAAGACTTTTAGACAGGTCAGTCCAGTAAGACAGAAGGAACATTTCCTATGCTTTCAGCTCTTAAAGATGGCATCATTCATTTCCGCAATAGTTTCTAACTAGGGAAAATATTCCTGGAAGCAGCACTGAGATGGTCATGACCACATGGAAGAGCACATGGACAATACAATGTGGGGAGAGAAAATTTCCATAAAACAACCTGTCCCTAACTTCCCCCCATTTCCATAGCCTTCCAAACACTGCATCTTTTTTCCTGTAGGTACTCTGTAAAGGTTTATCCATACAAACATAATCAGTCCATGGATAGCTAAGCAAGAATCTCAAATCAGCCTGAAAATTCAGCTCTGGCTCTGTTCTCTACAGCCATCTCTTTTTTTTTTTTTTTTTTTTTAAAACAACCTGTCCCTAAATTGTGTACGTTGTGTTTCCAGTTGCTATTGCAGGCTGCCAAGTACATAGCCATGACTTGGCAGCTAAGTTACATATTTAAGAGGATGAGAGAAGCAGGTTTGGGAACAACCTCAAATCTCACCCATGGCAGACAGGCAGCACTATAGAAATAGGCTCCCCATCAGGGGAAAGTGGGAGGTATGGAACTGATGCCTCATCGACTCATTTTTATAGAGCGGGGCTGTCATCAGCCTCAGGAGACCATCGGCCCATCTTGGATCCAGTGAAAGTTGTCCAAATAGAACTGGGAAAAGTAAAGGACGTATTGCAGATAGTCAGAGCCACCTGTGTTAACATTCGTGGTGCAGGAGGCAGGGGAGAGAAGCCTTCAGCTGTACTAGATTTGGGAGCAAATTGGCACAAAAAGCCCAGATGAAAGATGGGGAGAAACTAAGAGTGAGAACTACCTACGGGGAGAACAACTGTGAATGTACAGACTGGGACTCAGAGCTAAAGGCAGAGCTGGCTAGGCAGGCAGGGAAGACCTGGGAATCAGTGCAGCAGACGTGTAACCAGGGGAAAATGAAGAAAATATGGAAGGGATTTGTGGAGAGTGGGACAGAATTGGCTCTGGCCAAGCACAGGGGCCACGACAGAGAACAGTGTTAGGGTGAGCCCCAAGAGTTACCAGAGCAGGAGACTTGGGATGTCCAGATGCAGCACCCTACTACCCTTAATCAAGTGCTTCTGGAAGAGACCAGTTTAGCCCCAAGTATTTCATGAGCTAAGGGTGCAGAGGTGAGCACCAAACCTCCCACCCATGCTGATGGCCCAAATGGGTATCAGTCTGGAAAAAAAAAAAATTTAAAAGCCTGGCATTGTGTAGCAAAGGAGATTAGTTTCTGTTGGATCCCTGCTTCAGCTGTTGCAAGAGTTGGAAGCTATAAAATGAGTGAGCCAGAAGATTACAAGAAGTGAAATTACGGTGTAATGGTTGAGGCAGTTGAAGGCTACATGGGAAACCGATTTCCATATAGGCTTCAGTCACAGAATGCCAGGCAAATCACCCCAACCCTAATGACCAGTATTTGCATGCTCTCTTCTCACTGAGAAAACGGCCTGGCTTCATGGAAGTCAGAAAGGCAGAACTAAGTACCCACAGCTGTGACCGAAGCCAATGGGAATTCTACTTTGAACAGTCCAAGAAGTGTAATAATACTAATCTGTCTGAAAAACCAGTTCCTTGGCATTTCCAGTAGAAGACCCCATAATAGACAGATGGCATTTAGCTTTTGGTGTTTTATCATCTTCTCTCTGTGGGAATTATACACATCTCAGGGGTGAAAACTAAATGTTTAATGTCGTGAAGCACTCAAGATGCAATGGTGAAGAGATCCACAGGCAACATCGTAAAGGATAATTCTCCAGAGCTGGGGCTGGTCAGCACACAGTAAATAAGGTGTATATTGAACGGGGAAATACTACTTTCTTATGGTATATGCTGCCCATTGTGTGCACTGACTGAGGCAGGTGCCCTACAGGAGAAAAAAAAATTTAAAAAACTGTTACTGTGTAATCAAAAATTGGGTTATGATGCATAAGCACAAAGAAAGAAGAAACAGGCTTGCTCCGATGGTCATAATTCTGAACAAGCAAC